GCTGGGGGCGCCCACCCGGGCTCCCCCCGCCGGGGCGCCGGGGACCACGCTGGCACCTAGAACTCACGTCTGGGGGCGCGGGAGAACACGCGTGCTCCACGAGGGCCACGGTGGGCGCGGAGCGGTGCCCGCCCTGCCACCCCACCCCGCCCGAACCTTCCCTCCCACTGGCAGCCGCCTGCCTACCTCACAGGAAGTCTAGCAATTAGGGCCTGGAGAATGAGAAAACAGAAACAGCAAACAGCTGAGGGGTTGCTTTCCGCCCGGCTTTATTGCACAGTTCAAAGCCGGGATTACGGAGGTCATTAAGCAGCACTGTCTCTGACATGATTAGTCAGGTAGCAAAGTCCATTTGTCACCTGCACCGGCAAATTGAGTTAATACTGCACTACAGGCAATGGGGACTGTATAATATCAACGTGATTACATCAGGCGCGCTGCAGACTTGACAGCTCACTGAATTTGTCGGCATTAATCGTTACGCCTGTCACAAATCCATCAGGTTTACAGATAATTAGGGGCCTGTTAATGAAGCTGGCTAAACAACCTTACCTTTTTTGATAATTAAGAAGCCGCTTCATTACGAAGAACCATTTCCTCCGAGCAGTCTTTCTGTATTTTTTCATATAAGGAGGATTCATTTAGATAATTTTCCCTTCCTCTCTCATCACTCTGAAGTATTGCTATTCTGCATCTGTCACCCACCAACTTCCTGGCTACCAAACAATCAATTATTTGACACGAAGATATTCTCAAGAAAAACTCATCAGTTACGGATGGAGCCTTGAGGATGTTGTCATCAAGAGCTGGGGAGACGGCTCGCGCGCGCGGCACCACCCCGTCCCCTCGGCAAAGGAGATCGCCGCGAACGCAGGCCGACGGGCACGCCAGACCCCATCTTGCACCCTGGGCGAGGCCACACCTCACCACCTCACCCCGTCACCCGCGCGCACCACGGCCGGCCAGCACACAGGCCATCGTGAACAGCAGCGAGCCGGAGGTGTGAGCCGGTCTGGGTGAACGGAAGGACTCCGGGGAAAGCAAACAGCCTATTTTGCTGGGAATCCACCTTATTTTTTTTTTTAGTGGGGGTTGGGGGTGGGAGACACACCTAAACAATGGCTCGCTTAATGAACACAAGAGTCCCACAGGGTCAGAATCAAAGTAGAGATAATAAACCCCGTAATTAAACTTCCACAGAACCTCTGAGTATGGAATCTATTTTTGAAATCGCACTTCAAAACACAGGACACTTGGCCCA